ATTCCAGCCAGCATGGCTATGTTAGAGAGGGGTGGAGATTTTGTTTCAACAAATATGGAAGGCACCAGGTTGCCTTGCCCAGGTTGTGAAGTCTGTTCCAAAGGAGCTGTCTCTCAGTGCACTTTCAATCCCAACCTCCCTCTCTAGCAGTTCCTAATTCTTAACAGCATTCCCAGCTTCCAACAAAGTTTAGGCAATGTTGTAATGCACAAACAAGCGGTCACTTATTGAGCTTGTGATGCATTGATTTCTTCCAGAGATCAAGGCTTAAGTTACTAATTCATCCAGGCTGACCTCAAAAGTCCCTTGCCCTGCAGCAGTGGAAACTGTCATGGCCCTCACAGTGATGGCAAAAAAGAGGACAAGTAAATTGTCCTGGTATGCTGTGTGGCAGCTTCAAATCCCCTGTGCTGGCACAAGAGAATATATATTTGCTGTCCCCAAAATGCTTAATCCTGTTAAGTCCAGCACATCGATACAAGCCACAGGAGACATTTGCTTAGCTATTGCTGATGATCTGGTAGATGTGCCCCATAAAAGGGCTTCTCAACACAAGGGCTCCTTGGAAGCCACAAAACAGTAATGCCAAGGCAGAGGTAATCACAAAATGAGGGCAGATGGAGACAGAGGTTGGCATATTAGATGGAAATAGTTGATATAGGCCTATATATCGTTCTTAGTCCCAACTAGATTAGAGCTGTTGCAACAAATGGATTGACTCACCATTCAACAGTTCTCCAACAGTTCTCCAAAAACAAAAGTGGTTACATTACATACAGTAAGCCAGAGATCTGAGGGAATCCTAACTAAGGGCCTTTGCAGACTGCCATAAATAGTGAGTCCACTTTAAGGGTTAGGGTTAGTGCTAGGGAATCATGGGAATTGTTTTTTTCCCCCTGAGACATTGAGCCTTCTCTGTCAGAGAGCTCTGGTGCCACAATAAAATACAGTTCCCATGATTCCCTAACCCTAACCCTAAAAGTGGACTCAATTTGCACTATTTCTGGCAGTCTGCAAAGGCCCTATCTCTGGATGAACATCATGCTGCTCCATGCTGCTCAGTCACACCTGCTTGCAGTAAGAATAGCTCAACAAACTTCAGAGCTTCATTTCATGGTTTGCTTATTGTGTCATGTAAATGTTGGCATAACTGGCACTCTGTTTTATTTCTCTTTTTAAAAAAAAGTCTGTGCCTTGTAAATGGGAGGGACTGGGCAGCTGGACTGAGCGACAAGCCAGGGCTCTTGCAGTTATCTGGCTTTTCATGCCAGGCCATGCATTAGTGTTCAGCTGATCGAGAGGGAGCAGTGCCCAATGCAACAACTCATGCAACGACACAACACAGTGTTTTGAGTGGCTTAATGCAAGAAGGGAAGAATTAGCAGCAGGGCTTATTCAAAGCTGATAGGCCTTGAGCAGATCAAGACCAATGTGACTATCCTGCAGGGATATAGTGGGCAACCTCATTTGTGAAGAATATCTATATCTATATCTATATCTATATCTATATCTATATCTATATCTATATCTATATCTATATCTATATCTATATCTATATCTATATATCTGCTAGTAATCTGAGGAACTAAGGGGCATTTCATTGGGAGGAAGAATTCTTCTTAGTGTGGATATCATCCTCATTTTGCTCATCCCAATAGCTATGCCCTGATATCAGGTCACAGCTTATTGGGATGAGCAAAATGAGGATGATATCCACACCAAGAAGAATTCTTCCTCCCAATGAAACGTTCCTGCAGTTGGGCATGGAGAAATAACAGTTTAGGCAATCAAAGAAAAGGGTCAGGCACAGTGACAGAGGGAATGTGAGCACAGCAAATACCAGAGGTCCAGGTGTGAACTATTTTCAGTTTTTTTTGTAATACTGGAAATTGGGGGACTGGAGGAAAAATTCATCAGGGTGCAGAATTTTTTTTTTTTTTTTTT